AAACTGACAACTATTAAACTGAGTGCACTCGGCAGAGGGAAAGGGGATAAGATAAAATCCAATCTATAAAATATATTCCATTATCTTTTATAGGTTTAAAAAACACAAAAGAAATACTTGGAAAGAATCTTCTAGAAGATTTTAAGGTTGTGCGAGGATTTTTTTTTTTAACAGGTGCAGAATAAGTTAGTGGTTATTTTTTGTTTTGTTTTGGTTTTTTCCTCTTGGTTCTTTCTTTTCCCCATTTTTTTTTTTTTCTCCTGTTGTTTGCAAAGTTGAATCTGGGGTCAGTAGTTCTAATTGTAACCTCAGACTGGAATTCCAGATGGTGCGCTCAGGACTGGAAGCAACTCTCAGCTCATCAATTTCATGGGCCTGCGTATCTGCTCTGGCCACAGCCCGGCCTCCATCCCCACTGTGGCATTAATGCAGAACAAATTGAGACATATCCTCTATATAATTAGTTCCAGAATTTAAAAAGATTTACGGTATAATAATAGAGGCAGCGCTGCGCAATCCTTTCTTTGGGGACTCTCTCGGAGCTCGGGGACCATCTCGCGGTGGCATCAGAACAGGCGGGTAACCCTGACCGCTCTAGGCACTGCGAGCTGGGGGAAAGGGGGAGTTTTGCTCTGCGCACCTGGTAGTGCGCACCGGTCCTGGCCCCCAAACCAACTGAGTTTGAACCGTAGATGGGGGATTGGCCAAAAAGTAGAGTTAATTTTCAAACGAACAGAGGAAGCCGGGGGTAGACTACACCAAAAGCCCTTCTCTTACTTTTTTTTTTTTTTTTTTTTTTAATTTAGATAAATGAAACTGGGATTTCTACCACCTGCGCGGGGATGGAAACCAGCCTGAGCGGCTGCCCAGCGGCCCGAGGCAGGCAGAATGCTAAGAGCTGGAGGCGGCTGGGAGGAGAGGAGCAGCGGTCGGGAGCGTGGAGCTCGGACACTGGCCTCTGCGCGAGGCGCTAATCGAGCGCTGGTTTCTCCCGGGCGGCCCAGCACTCCTTTTTGCTGTCTACGGCCCCGGGCGCGGGCAGGCGGCCCCAGCCCTTGACAGATCACAGCGCTACGGTGTGTTTATTCAGTTGTTGGCGCCCGCGGGGTGACGCCCGGAGCGCGGCTCGGGAGTACGCGCTGGTCCCTGGGGCCGCGGCTGCAGGGCCGGGCTGGGCTCTCGGTCAGATGCAGTTGACGGCGCCGGGGTCAAAGTGCGGGGCGGGGGGTAGAGGACCTCACTGCCCCCTCCCACTCAGCATCCATTTTTAAAGCTTGCAATAATTAAGCCCCTTCCAGGCCAGGATGAACTTTACCAGTGATACAAAGCTACATGGGTTTCCAGCGTCTCTCCTCCTGCTTTCCTTTACTCTCCATTCCATTAGCTCTAAAGAAGCAGAGGTGTGGTGGGTTAAGCCCAGAGAGAGACCAGGGTTTCTGCTCGGTTTTGCCACTAATTTGAACAATAGTAACAAAAATTGTAACGTACATTGAGGGCATAGGCCAACACTCTCTTCCGTCTAATCCTCAGGACCCCTTGAGGTGGGTACTAATATCCCATCATTCCATGTGACCAATAAGGAAACTGAGACAGCGGCTGCGGAGCTCGTCCAGGGTTGCCCAGCTGCTGGTTACCTGGTGGAGCTGAGATTCCTTTCTCTGGCCACCAATCTCTTGCTCTTAACCAGTGCTCTCCACAGCTGCCTTTCCTCCCTCTGCCTGGGCCTCAGTTTCCTTTTCTGTAGAACAAGGAGTTTAATTTCCAGCTCTGCCAATCGGTGATTCAGACCACATCCTCTGCCACAGGTCTCAGTGCTATCGGGGGTGGGAAGGTGATTGAGAGGAAGGAGCGGCCAGTTCTCCGCAGCCCTCAGATCCCTGGGACCTTGGGCGGGTCTCGAGCCACAGGAGGTGCAGCAGAGCGCACTCTACCTGCTGGGGCGGGTGGAGGTTGGACCTTCTTCCAGGCCAGACTGTCTCCCCCTCTGCCCAGCTCAGGGCGCCGAGGCCAGCAGAGCGGGCGCGTCCGCCTGGGTAACTGCAGAGCTCCTGCAGAGAACGTCACCTAGTGGAGGGACAAGTAGGGAGCGTAGGGCACCCCGTGAGCGCAGTAGTGTGCGGGTTCCCCAGGCTTGGCCCTGGGGCACCTGGGCTCCCGGGCATAGGCACGGGCTACGGGCGTTCAAAGACCTCGTCTCGGGTGAGGCCCTCTGGCTTCGGCTTCGGACGCGCAGCACTTACTTCTCTGCCCTGAGGGTTGCAGGGAACTCCTCCCACCGCTTCGGACTACAAGGTCTGGGAGAGGGGGTACCCCAGGGTTGAAATGAGGATCGCACCACTGCTCTTCCCTCCCTCAAGAGTTCTCAGGCGGGGGCTTCCCTGGTGGCGCAGTGGTTGGGAATCTGCCTGCTAATGCAGGGGACACGGGTTTGAGCCCTGGTCTGGGAGGATCCCACATGCCGCAGAGCAACTAGGCCCGTGAGCTACAACTACTGAGCCTGCGCGTCTGGAGCCTGTGCTCCTCAACAAGAGAGGCCGCGATAGTGAGAGGCCCGCGCACCGCGATGAAGAGTGGCCCCCCGCTTGCCACAACTGGAGAAAGCCCTCGCACAGAAACTCAGACCCAACACAGCAAAAATAAATAAATTAATTAATAAACTCCTACCCCCAACATCTAAAAAAAAAAAGAGTTCTCAGGCAACAAATGGCGGGTGAGAGAGGAGTGCTAAATTTGCTAGCCCCCTCCTTTCCTCTCACCCCACCCCCGGGCAAAAAAAAATTTTTTTTTTTTAACTCAGAGTTAAGAGCCCTTGCCCTATCTGGGATTCAAAACTGCAAAAGCTCACAATCAAGCCACCTTCCTCCAAATACCCTCCCCCCCAAAATTGCAAAGAAGGATTAAAAAAGAAACAATCTTGACCTTTTTCACTTAGAAGTGGAAATCCCGGGCTTTCATAAAGGGCTCACCTTTCCTCGTAGCGCTTGAGTGAGTCCTAGTTAAGAAAAACGACTTCGAAGTAGAAATAAAAGTGAAGGGTGTGAGACAGTGGTCTGGGGCGTCCTAGGGACAACTTGGCCTGAGAAGTTTTATCTCGCTGGGCCTTTCTCCACCCAAAATACGAAAAGCGCCTGTCCTCTGCCCAGCCCTGGAGCCCCGCGCAGGTTTAGAGATGGGACATGCGGGCGAGGAGTGGGCGGCCCACAGGGAGTGTAGGGGAGAAGCAGCTGGCCTAGAGTGCCTTTTCACTTCTTTTTTTAAAAAAGAAAAAGAAAGAAAAAGTTTCTGAGTGAAGACTTCGCAAAGTCAGGCACCAAAGTAGCGCAGAGAAGTGTCCACCACCGTGAAAGCGGTCGGGCGATCAAACGGGTAGAGCCTGTTCCTGACCTTTGCCCTCACGGTTTCCTGCGCCTCCAAGACAAGCGACCCCAAGAGGAGGGAAATGCACTTAGCGTGTAGGTCTTGAGCTGGCACACGCTTCTGGTCCGCTGCGAGAACTCCTGGCTACCGTTTACTTAGTGGAAATTAACTAAAACCAACGCGTAAGAAATTGTGAGTAAATCAAGGCTTCAAAACTCCCGGCTTCTTTATAAAACTGCAACTACCTTGATTGTTGCTTCACATGGGCTTGGCTGAAAAGCTTCGGGCCCCATCCCCGGCCAGCCTCGTGTCAGAGGCCAGGCGGCAACAGGCCGCTTCCCGCCCGGCGCTCCTGGCAGTCCCAGGCTGCGCCGTCGCCGCTGCCTCCTGGGCGTTTCCACGCGCCCCTGAACCGCACTCCCATCCAGGTTCCCGGCTCTTCTAGCCTAGGGTCTGTTTCTCGATAGAAGCCGACTCTTTTGGAAGAACCAAAAGAAACAAAACCAAACCTCAAGCACCTGCTCTGGGGCGCGGGGCTCCCAAAGAATGAATAGGTGGAGGGAGGAATCTGATTTGGCAATGCCAGGCGCTGGGAGCTCTAACAGTTAGAACCCTGCCTTGGACCTTGGGCCGCTGGAGGCTCTCTTCCGTCCGCGTGCGCTGGCTTGCGCCTCCTGATCTGTCACTACGCATGCAGAATGGTCCTCCCGACTGGAGTGAGCGGAGGCAGAGCTCAGCAGGAGCGGCTCCAAGAGCCAACCTCGCCTCAAGGACTTCGTATCTTAAACCTTCCCCACCCGCTAACCTCCAAACTCAGCGCCTGGATTCTCCGACCGGAATCTGGGCATTTCCCTAAGGGTTTTCTTCCCTTCCAAACTAGCCGCCGTTTTGTTTTCCCGGTTTCCCCGTAGAAGAGTTAGGTACTCCTCACGAGATTCAGTGCCGTGGACACCGATTTTAGGTAGGCGGCAACCGCCCTTCTCTGGGCGCAAACCTCACCATGTCGCCAACTACCAGACGATGGATATACGCCCCGTTTATCACAAATGATGCAACCTCCAGATGACCCACGTTCGCCTGAGTCTGGCCTCTGGAATCCACAAAAAGCCACCCCGCTCCCCAGTGACCCCAAGATTATGACCACCAGTCCAGTCTGACGGCTCTAGAAGCAATAGCCGCCGCCTCTTTGAAGTCCGGTAAAGTTCTCTGCGTTATCCTGAAGTTCCCGCCCTCGTGGAGCCCCCTGCCCCTCCCTCCAACACGCCCTCCCTGATTAACAACCCCTTCCCTACCCCCATCACACAGGGATGCAGAGTGGACATTCAGTGCTCACCTGGAGAGGCTCGCCAGTTCCCCAAGGCGCCCACACTCGCGAAGGCCGAGAAGGGGAGGTCGGGGGAGGATTGTGTCCCACAGGCCTGCGGAGAGCGCGTGGCGGGTAGGAGAGGAGGGTGTCTCCGAGAGGGACGCTCCCTCGGGCCCGCCCCCCACCACCACTGCGAGGACGCCCCCAAGGAGTCGCGCTCCCTGCCTAATCTGCTAGGGCTGCGGTGTGAATGGAGCTGCCGAGACTCCTGACTCCTCCTCCTCCCCCGCCGCCGGCCCCTCTTATTTGAGCTTTGGGAAGCTGGGGGTAGCCAGGCAGCTGGGGTAAGGAGTTCAAGGCAGCGCCCACACCCGGGGGCTCTCGCAACTCGACCGCCTATCCGCTCCCCCATTCCCGCCCTCCCTCCCACTCATTCACCCACCCACCCACCCATAGCCGGGACTGCAGCCCAGGAGCCGGGGCCCCGCCGCGATCCTGGACTTCCCCCTGCCGCAAGAGCCGGCATCCACGTGTGCCCCGGAGCCAGCGTCTAAGCACACGCTCCGCTCCGGGCCTGGGTGCCTTCAGCAGACCCAGCAGCCGGAGATCCGGGGCCCGGAAGGCATCTGGGCCAAGTTAGGCGCGGCGGAATCGAGCGCCGAGCGTCTGCAAAGCCGGTGGGGCCGCGGAGCGTCCGGGGCTGAGCCACAGCAAATGGGCTCCGACGTGCGGGACCTGAACGCGCTGCTGCCGGCGGTACCCTCGTTGGGTGGTGGCGGCGGTTGCGCCCTGCCCGTGAGCGGCGCGGCGCAGTGGGCGCCGGTGCTGGACTTTGCGCCCCCGGGCGCCTCGGCTTACGGTTCCTTGGGCGGTCCTGCGCCGCCGCCTGCTCCGCCACCACCACCCCCGCCGCCGCCGCCTCACTCGTTCATCAAACAGGAGCCGAGCTGGGGTGGCGCGGAGCCGCACGAGGAGCAGTGCTTGAGCGCCTTCACCGTCCACTTCTCGGGCCAGTTCACCGGCACGGCTGGAGCCTGTCGCTACGGACCCTTCGGTCCTCCTCCGCCCAGCCAGGCGTCGTCCGGCCAGGCCAGGATGTTCCCCAACGCGCCCTACCTGCCCAGCTGCCTCGAGAGCCAGCCCGCTATTCGCAACCAGGGTAAGCAGACTGGGGAGCGCCCCCTACATGCGGGGCGGTGGCGACGAGGCTGTGGCTGCGCGCGGGCACTCCCCTGGCCTACCCCTTACCTGACCACAGCTCTTACTCGGCTGCCTCCCCAAGGACTGTGAGGGTAGAGGAAGCAGCAGCTGAGGGAGAGGAGGGCAAGGAGAGGGAGTCCAGGGCATGGGCCCCTGCCATCCTCCAGAGCGGGGAACCGGACTCTTCGCATGAGCCGGGAGGTCATCTGGGGCCCCTCGGACCTCGGGAGATTCTAAGACTATTCCCCATGGGAGTGGGAAGCGGGAGCCGGTGCAATGCCTGGCTCTGCCTCGGGAAGAGGTTTTGCCGCTCAAGGCACCACCAAACTGTTGCCAGGCATTGGACTTTTAGACCCTGGATTCAGAGTGGGACCAGCGCAGGGTGAGCAGCCTTTGCTGCCTCTGCCACGCCAAAATATCCAGGAGCCACTCTAGACCTAAGGGAGGCACAGTAAGCACCTTGGAGCACTAGAATGAGTAAATGAATGAGCTAGAGACAATAGTGGCTTTCCTGGACTCGTGTCCCTGTTCGCCTATGGCTCCAGCGCATGGTAGTGTATAAGTGGATCTCTCCTGGGTTTCAGCTCAGGTGGCGGCCACGCGGGCTCCAGGGCTGGAAGAGAACCCCGTTTATCTGATTCCAATCTCTGCGGGACCGGGTCCTACCACAGGCAGTGGAATGAGGCCCGAGCGTCGGCCTTCCTTCCAGCCCGCCTGTGGCGCCTCCTCGTCGTTGAACACGGGGCTTAGCTGGAGAAAGATTTTTGCAAGACTTGGAGGTTAGAACAAGGACGGGTTTATTTTCCCTTTTCAGTCATTGTACATCGAGGGACACAGCCGGTGGTTTTCTCATCCTGCGCCGGTGCCCTCTCACTTCTCTTTCTCAGGGACCAGCGCGGAACCAATCATGCCGAACCTTTGTATTTTCATTTCTAAGTTTATTTTAATTAGACTTCTGCGCTGTTGGGAACCTAAACCAATTCGGGTTGATTTGATATTTTAGGAAATGCTTAAAAAAAGGGGTGGATGCTTTTCCTAGAGCAAATATTCCCTCGGGCCTAGGGACTGGGATGTTTCTAGAATGCGTGGGCTAGGAGGAGCAGAGTGTGTACTGTTTGCAGGAGGTGCTGCGGCTCCTGAGGCTCAGAAGAAGGGCCCTGTTCTTCCCGCCTTCTCGCGCACATTCTAAAACCGTGTTTCTAGGCTGTTCGTATCTTAGCCCAGCCCGGAGCACCTAGCCCACCAGAAGCCCTGGCGAAACCGAAACCACCCTCCTGTCTTCATTCGGGGAACCTGGGATCCATGTTCTGTGGAAGAACCTCAAGCCCACCCGTGGGGTCCCTCCACTCTAGGTCTTTCCTAAAGGAAATTAGTGTTTCGAACTCAAGGAGTATTGGAACAGCTCAGTGACTATTACAGATTCTTTTCCTCTGATCGTACCACCTCTAATTAGCAGGCTGGTGTTACCTCTGGCAAATCTCCAGGTCTCAGTTTCCCCATCTGTAAGAGGAGAGCCAAGATGGGCAACCTGGTGTTTGGCTCAGGTTTGAAGTTCTATGCCACAGAAGCAGAAGCCCGACCCTCCCCCGGCAGGGGTTCTAAACACAGAAGGCAGCAGCCACGTAAACTTGGTTGGACCAGAAACGGCATGACTGGCAGGCAGGTGTGTGACATGAGTGAGTCTCTGTGGATGCTTGCTATTTGAAGACACCTGAAAAGCCATTTGATCTAAGTACCCCCTGTGCAAAATACTACCATTATCATTTATTTGAAACCATCTAGGTTCTGTCAGGGGTTTTGGAACCTGGACTCTGTGACTTTAATTGGATCCCTGGGCCATCCTTCTATACAGGGTGGTCTGGTGCCCAGAATTTCATCAACTCAGCCACAGGAGTGAGGCTGTGGGCGTCCTAGCCAGTGGGCAATATGTTTAAAGGAAAAATCCCAATTCTTTTCTAGAGGATAGGCCCAGGATGTTAAAGAGAAAAGGGGCTTGGGAGCTGGAGATCGACTAGCAGGTAAAGGAGTCCCCCCTCCCCATCCTGGGAAATAGCCCAGTAGAGAGGCGGCCCCAGATCCAGGCCACAGCCTGTAAGCGGGTTGGGTTCCTGTCTTCTTCGGGCTTAGGTTCTCTCTTGTAATCAAAACATAAAGGGATCACACCTGACCAGTCCTTGGGACTCAGTCAGCAGCTGGGAGCTGGGGTGGGATGTCAGAAGCCACTTGTGCCTCAACCCTGGCATTGGCAACCAGAGTGGGCCCTGGGGCCCTGAGATTTCAGATTTATTCTCTCGATTTCTGGGCTTCCTGCAGCTCTCCCAGCAATGTAGAGTCTTGGCAGGAGGCTTAACCAGGGGAAAGCAAGGACATCAATTCCTTCCCCAAAGTGTGGGAATGGCCATCAGCAGGCTGAGGCGGAGAGGAATCAAGCTTCGGGAACCCTGTCCCCAGGCAGGGCAACCTAGCAATGGCCCAGGGGTGGGGGCAATTGCTGGCACTCTTGAACCTCCCCCCACCCCAAGGTATCACACCTCGTTTTTTTCCAGTTGCTTAAATATTATAGCTGGTATTCTAATCTTGCTTCTAAATATTAATTCAGGAAACATTTATTGAGCACCTACTCTGTGCCAGGCACTGGGGATTGAATGTTAAGACAATTAAAGTGCCTCAACCTTTGCAGGAAGCTCACAGCCTGACACTGGAGGAGCCCCTTATTTTTGGATGAGGAAATCTAGGCTCTAAGAGATAATGTGTGCAGGAGATCTCTCTGTGGCAGAACTTGGACTCAAACCCAGACCATTCTAGGTTATTTCTACCTCCTTTCCCAGGGATCTAGGTCCCGCTGTTGAGATGGATTTTCTCTTCCCTGCTGGATGGGCACCCAACCCACTGTAGTCTGTGTGAGGGGTGGGGAATTTGCCGGGGCAGAAGAAGGGCGAGGACTTCGATAGCCCTAGACTAAGTGCGGGGTTTGGGAAGGGAAGACAAAGACTGCTTGACAGTCTGCGTGATTCCCCCAGACCGGCTGGCGCGCAGCACCCTATACCTACAGGAGGCCTTGTGATCACCGGGCCACCCTAGTGTCACGCGGGGACACCAGCTCAGCCCTAGGGCCAAGGGCGCCCCCCTTGGGTCGCATTGGAGAGGGTATTTCGTTGCGGGACAAATTTCCCCGTATGCTGCGGCAGCTGCGGAGTCATGGTTTTCAGACTTGGGACCACCTTCCTGACTGAGCCTGCTGTCCACTTCATCCCTCAGCTCCCGCGGGGCCTGGCCCGGCCAGGCGGTCCCCGGGCTCCTCCGCTGCGGCGGGCGGGGGAGAGAGGCGCACAGCGTGTCTCGCCTCTCCCCACGGTCAAGGTTGCATTCCCTTCGCCGGCCGAGACTAATCGTGGGAAAGGCGCTACCTTGGCCCCTCGAGCCTCTCCCTCTAAGGCCTGTACAAGGAGCCTTTGAACACGCTGCCCCCTTCTGCCGGCAGCTGTCCCTCCCCCGGCCTCCGCCCCCGCGCTCTCCGCGCCTGGCTCAGCGCTAGGCCCCGGGACAGCACGCTCTGATCAGTTCCGCATCCGATAAGTTTCTAATTTAAAGAGCTCTCCCTCCTCTCTGAGGGCCCTTTCACCGATGTCCATCCCCTCTCCGGGGAGGGGACTGCGAGAGGGGGTTGGAGGCCAGCCTCTGCCCAGCGGTCCGGTGTCCGGTCTGGGACGGGTCCTTGGGAGCCTCGCAGGGCGCGGAGGCGACGCGGCCGGCGCAGGAGCTGCAGCCCGCAACCCGTGGCGCTAGCCGCGCACCGAAGGTTGCGGAGCCCGCCTCCGAGGACAGCACGGTGCCCGGGCCACTGCCTTCTCATCGGCTCAGGAATGGAGAAGGGTTCGTCTAGAGACAACTTCTTAATTGCTTCTGTCTCTCCTCTTTATTTAAAAAATGGTCTTTGAAAATTCGGCCTCCCCTCTGCAAAACTGGGTGCTTGGAGCCAAATTTCGTTTGTCAGCGTACTGGTAGGCCTTAAACACAGCCTGGCCTCCGCTCCCAAAATGAAGCGCCTGGAAGCCCAAGTGTGCTCACCCACTCCTGACAGCTAACGGGGCGGGGGTTATCTTTGCCCACTTAGCAGGCCAGAAATGGTGGCCTCTGGGGTCATGTAAATTATAAAAGCTGGTGGCTTCTTAAGTTGTCAGCCTGTGGCGCCAGTTGGTGCGGAGACTTGGACTGCCCTGTACAATCCGGTAATGAAGACCTGTTCAAACCCTCCCTCCCACACTGACACACCACGTTCCCCGAAGTGGACTGTGGAAGGTCGGTTTTTGTTTTTGTTTTTGGAGATGTGTATTTGAAAGATGTGGGTAATGGCCACCTTTCACTGTTCAATCTGAGTCTTCACTGGACACCTGTTGTAGAGCCTTGACCATGCCTGGGGCATGGGGGAATGGGGTTCATTTGACTTATCCCACTCCCAAGAAAATTGAGCGGGGTTTGGAGACTCAGCTCAGTGCCCAGAGGCGGGGCCGAGGGTGGGGGGACTGGGTCAGGCCCAGTGGCCCTGCAGGGAGCCGACGTGAGCGTCTGGACCCATCTGATTCGTCACTTGGTCAGGACCTCAGGCCAGAGACTACCGAGCCTGTGCATAGGCAGGGACCCTACCATTGGGTTCAGGGCTCAGAACTGATCTTTATCTTAGCTGGAGGATACTTTTTCCCTAGAGGCAGCTACAGTTTTGCGGAAGCTAGTGGGGTAAATGCTTAGAGTAATTTAGTGACAATAGTCACAGAAGGAGACTACGTTTTTCAACCAACACGTTTTTGGGTTATTTCCCCCCCTCACTTTCGGAGAGCTGGGGAAGAATACGGGCGGTATTGCCCTCGGTTTCTCGGCAGGGAAACTGAGGCAGAGGACCAGTGTATACCATGGAGGGAAAGGGAGGTACAGTCTCAGGCACACTGAAACAAACAGGCATCCCGGACTGGTGCACGAGGAAGTCTGCCCCGGCAATGGTGGTCACAGCCCGACCCGCTGGGCGCGAGGTGGGTCCGAGGTAGGAAGGAGGAGGGCGCTGGGTCGAGGCCCGTGGGCCCAACTTGAAAGGCCCCTTCTTTTTCCCCCTCACCAGCTTTCCCGAGGGCCTTGGGTATCAATGGTGTCGGGTCGCGCAGCCTCAGACAGATAACATTACTCTGTAATTACTCTCCCCATTTAAAGCCCATGCCGTTTAACTGGCCCCGAGTAATTAATGAAAGTTGGTGCGCGGGCCTCTGATTTACGGCTGCGAGTCAGTGCCGGGTCAGGCGAGCAGATTCATTTCGGTCGCCCGCGCTGCCCAGTTTTGGGGGGAGAACAACTTTCTCCGCCGAGCGGTTGTCAGCTTTCATACTTGCGAGGTGCTCGGTGCAGAAGCGGCGGACACCGTGAAAGACAAGGGCGTAAATAAATTGGGAAGGTTTAATAAAGGTGGGGAGGCCTGGGTTTTACTCGGGAAAGGACGGGGAGCCTGTCGCGAGGTCATATTGGGCCCGGCTTCTCGCCGCAAGCCCTGGGGGCTGAGGCAGCGGGATCCGAATGAGGGGCTGGGCGCTCCTCGCCCGGGTTCTGGTTCAGACACACGGTCCCCGACTCCCCGCCGACGCTGTTTCTCTCTCGGCCGCGCCTGCAGGATACAGCACGGTCACCTTCGACGGGACGCCCAGCTACGGTCACACGCCCTCGCACCACGCGGCACAGTTCCCCAATCACTCCTTCAAGCACGAGGACCCCATGGGCCAGCAGGGCTCGCTGGGTAAGAGGAGGGAATGATGTGGGGTCTTTCTCCCCTTCTTCCATGCTACCCCTCACTCCCCAGGAATTTCCAACCCACAGCAAATTGGGGAAGGGAGGAGAGGATAGCTAAAAGAATTTTAGAAAGAATTAGCCTAATCTCACTCAAGAGAAAAGATTGTTTCCCCCCACCCCAAGTATGTTAACTCCGCTCAGCCGAGACCGCGAATGTCCAGAGGGTCTTTTCGGTGCTCTGTGCCGTGACTGCTAAGGGAATGTGAAGTGAGAGGCTTAGCTCGCTGTGACCTGTAGGCCGTCTCTCTGCACGCCCCGGCATCCAGGCCCCAGTGCCCCCAGCGCAACCTGGGAGCCCAGCTCAGGACGCTCTGCCCCAGCCCTTGACCGCGGCCTCGCACCCTCAGGCCTTGGTGTGCTGCTCTCACCCCGCTCTCCTGGCTCTCTGCAGGTGAACAGCAGTACTCCGTGCCGCCCCCAGTCTACGGCTGCCACACGCCCACCGACAGCTGCACAGGCAGCCAGGCCCTGCTGCTGAGGACGCCCTACAGCAGGTAGGAAGGCGCTCGGCACCTCATCTGGGTCCTCGCGACCTCGGAGAGGGCGCTCGAGCCAGCGGGCACGGGAACGTCCGAGGCGGGGCAGCCCGGATGCGGCCGTGCAGGGTCCTGGAGGCAAAGTACGCCTTTAGCCCACTCGTCTCCATAAAGCAATGGAAAGCCTCTCTCCTGGCTCCTATTTGAAAGAATTAGCTTTCCCCGTCTCCCGGTGTTCTTACTTTGTGTGTGTACGTTGGTTTTTGGTTTTGGCCGCGCCGCGCGGTATGCGCGATCTTAGCTCCTCGACTAGGGCTCGAACTCGCGCCCCCTGCAGTGGAAGCGCGGGGTCTTAATCACTGGACCGCCAGGGAAGTCCCCCCCACCCCGTGTTCTTACTTTGAATATAAATGAGGGCGATTACTGTTTGGAGATGAAGAAGAAAGAGCAGCGCTTTGAGGATTATTTTTTAAAAGGGCTCTTTGCTGGGAGGACTTCAGCTTCCTCGGGATCAAAGATTAAACACGGGGTCCACTCCCACTCGTTTCTTCTCACTCCTCAAGCCCCTCCTCGCGCACTGGCCACACCCGCCAGCCTTCTCTGGGACGAATGCGAGGGCGCGTACACTCGGGCCACAGCCTTCTCCCCACCCCTGTCCCCCAGAGTCTCGGGCTGCAGCACCACTCTGTGGGCGTCGTCCCCAGCGCCCAGCTACCCCGGACTGTGTGCGGGACTGTGGTCGGGCGGCAGCGGTACCTGCGGGGAGACCGCTCCAGCCCGCGCCCGCCCTTCTTCCTGTTCCTGTGAGGCCGAAGACCGGCTTCTTTTCCTTGCAGACTCTTTTCCAGCTCCTCGTGCCTTCTCTAGGTTCTTGCTCCACCCTCCACCTTCTCTCCCCCAAATTTACTCTTCAACTTTGGGTGAACTTGGCCGGCATCCCGCGTCACCGATAGGGTTGCCTAGTAACTATACCGGCCGGAGCTGGGCGGGATGGTGGGGCGGAGGGAGGGAAGTGGCAGATCGCGGCCTTGGATGCAGGGGATTGGGCGCGCATTACCTCATATTCCATCCCTACCCCCCACCCGGTGCTGCGGGGATCCTGATACCGACTGCCCCAGACTCATCTCCATCCTCCCTCCCCTCTGTTGGAAGACCCCGGGCTGACGTCAAGGGAAGGAGGTAGTGAGGTAATAAAGGAAGGAAAAGCGTCTGCCCTGGGAGATTGGTGGAAGGAATGGCCGCGCCTGGGGGACCTGCAGCCCCACAGGTGGAGGAGGGGAAGGAATGTTCGCTCCTGAGCCCGCAGGCGGCTCATGCCAATGTTCCGACGTGTTTATGAAACTGAGCCTAGGACTGGTCTGATTCTCCCATCCCGGGGAGGGACAGGGTGGAGCCCGTCTACTTCTGTACGCCTACAGTACACAGATTTTGGAAACCTTTCCTTTTGATCGGGAAATCCGGCATATCTAATCTGATCTTGGATTCAAGATAACTTTTTTTCCTCCCTACCCTCCCCCCCCCCCCCCCCCTCTTCTT